ATTGTTTACAAAAACTTCCTAATTCTTGTTTAGTCTTTTTTAATTCATATTTGAAGTTTTAAATCTTGATAAATCTGTAATCCTTCTTTCTAAATTATGCTTATTAATTGACCATAAGTTAATTTATTATATGGGATTGGGTTACCATGTTGTTGTTTAATATAATTCCTAACTCTTTCCCCTAAAAAATACACATTCTCCTCCTGTGTTCCATCCTCAAATAAAGGTAACAGCAATGATTCTTCCTGTATATCTTCATTGTACTTTTTATCAAAACTAGTATATATATATATATATATATGTATATCTAAAAATCCTTGTCTTGTTACTGGTGAGTAGGTTTAAATTACTTAAGAGTTCAGCATTTTTATCTTTTATATGGGATGGATCTCCTATAAAATGTAATGAAATGGTTAATATTAAGGTTGCAACTCCATCCTGAATAGGTTCACCACTTTCATCATATAAAGGCTCATCCTGATCAGTTACTTGAACTGAATTTAAAATATCTAATTGGTCTTTTTCAGTGAGATGATAATCCCACCATCTTTTTAATTGTCCTGTAAATCCTGCAATAAGGATTTCAGCAACTGCTTTATCAGATATAGGTGACTGGGTTTTATAAGCATTTGCAGCCATTGTTTTGCAGCCATTGTCATTTGTTGCAAAATACTTAAGATTTTATATTCAGATAATCCATCATATTCCATTCATATAATGTATTAGCATTATAAGCATTATAGTGGAATTGGGATATGTATGGAGGTTTGTCAATGAATCCTAAGTCTGGAGCCCTAGAGACTATTTCTCTATGGGTTATATTATTTACAAATTGTTTAGCATCTTCTAGGTCAGGTTCACTGACTCCAGTGCTAGAAGTTTCTTCTAAAAGATTTACAGAGGTATCCTGAACTACATGAGGTGTATATTCTGAACTGCCCTCAAGTTGACTAAGCTGGTGTTTTAAAGCTCCTATAAATTGTGAATTTAATTCCTTTTGACTAGACTTAGAAACCTGAAATGGTTTAAACATATGTGACTTTGTTTAAACATATGTGACTTTACTAATTCTTTTCCTTTAGATTGTTCAATTACTATAGGTTTATCCTGAAGTAATTGTTCTATCTTTTTCTTTGTTTAATTTGTGTATTCAGACAAATTAATACTAGCATTACTAAAATTATTTTGTTCAATTAATTTTTTATCTGAATCATTTTCTCTAGCTACTTTATATGGTGCACAAGTAATATCATTATCTGGTATTTTAAAATTTACTAAATGGCTTTAGGCAGGAAAATCAACTTCTGGAATTATCTTTATCATTTAACTATCATTCTGCGTCTTTTATCTCGAATTGTTATTGGGTTAAGACTTTTATTATTGGTAAATTAATGAAAACCAATCTAAAAATGTAATTTTAGCTCTGAGTTTTGAAGTTTAATTCAAAATATTCTAGGAGGACAAAAACAACATTCCAGACTTTCTGACTCGAGAATTCTTACAAGAAACGATGGGCAGGGAAAAAGGGATAAGGGCAAAGCCCCAAAGAAGAACCTGAATCCACCTACTAAAGCTCTTTCTGAGCACTCCGAAGATTTACTTAAACCTAGACCACTAAAAATTCTCCAGATCTTAAAAAATGGATTTGAACAGTTAAGTCAATCCCCTTGAAGTGTTTAAGGGCGTTTACAAAGTATAGCGGCCTCTTCCACAGAGACGGCCTGGTATGTCTTCTAACACCTAAAAGCGACGTACCCGTTTCCATGGTACGGTAGTCTGTCTCAAACGGTAGACAAGACAGTAAAGACTTATCAAATCCGTTGATGGCTGTGGGTTTGCCAAAAATCCAGTATACTCCAAGTATACATAAATGGTTTGTTAAAACTCATTTTGATTATGAAATCGAAATTGAGGATGGATATAATAATATTAATCCTTGGTCTGTTTTAAAACAATATTATCCTGAGGATTGGTATTTTTCTCCCACTGATCTTTCAAAACCTCAAGAATATTATCATAATATTCTTTTGGATACAGGATCTGTAAAAATTAAACATAATTATGATTCAAAAAATAAATCTGTTATTTTTATAAGTAGTAATAGGAATAAAACATTTAGCTTGTCAAAAATAATTATAGATCGAACAGCGCATAAGATATGATCCTGCAATAGATACGGGTTCGATTTTTCTCCTCGATACTCAAAAATAATTATATATCGAAAGAATGTCTTCAAAAAATTTTAATTGTATTTAAAAATAAAAATCTTAATACAATTTGAGAATAATTAACATGTTTAAATCATGTCGTCGCAAGTTTTATTTACTTTTGCAATCAATAATCTTTACTTTCATTATTAAGAATTTCGCTATTAAGAACAATTCTAATACTTATCGTTCAACTTATTATTATTCATAGTTAATCTATCGCTAATTTTGATTTATTATCCTACATGTCATTAATGTTATTTGTTATGAATTGTGATTATTTATGCATAAAATATCATAATCTTTTAAGTCTAATCATTATTTTTGTCTTAGCATAATCTATTCTTTGTTGTACAAAACAAATGGTGGTCTACTCAATATCAAGCTTTCTTTCACTTTAGAAATCATCATGCAGCTTTCTCTCTCCCAATCGCTCATGTTGCTGAATTGGTCCGCTATCTCTCAGTGTTACTCTATTCTCTCTTTTTAACTCACTGATTTGGGCAAGTTGATAAATTAATTTATGCAGTTATGGAAGTGGGCTAGCTGACTTTACGTTTTTCACCACTGCTTGTGGAAGAAAAGGTGGTTAAGATGGAGTTTAAGCTGGGACTTGAACACCCTCAACAACTGCCTCGACCACCACCACCACCATCACGATCGTTCCACCCTATCTCTTCTTTGCAACATTTCACTCGCTAAAATTCTCACTTTACTTATAAGCCTACCATAATGAGTTATACTCCAATTTTGTGCTAGAAACTTTTCAATGATGAGCGTCTATGATCGATCCAATTTGAGAGAACCTTTAAGGGTTCTATATAATAAACGGTCAACAATGTCATGCTCATGCTAACTTGGATTTAAATTCATATCAAGCAAAGAGATGGATGAGGATCGACATAGATGATTAATTAATCCATATGGTGAGTAGAGGCTGTGTACTTATCAACGTATGGCAAAGAAGAGTTTGAAATATGCAATTTGATAAGAATCAAATTAAACCATGTAAGCATTACAACGTAACAAAGAAGATTAATTTATGACGTTAACCTCGTTTACCTACAATTTAAACAATAACTTCCTTAAATCTCTAATTAATTCAAGATCTAAATACGCTTTTTCCTCTCTCTCTCTCAATCCACAACTTCGATTATAGCTTTTGTGACATCTCGACCCGGGCAAAGCGATCCTAAGGATGGCAGGCTAGCTAGGGTAGTGGAATGCGGGACACATGAATTAATCGAATCATATATCGAAAAGGGGTAAACTAATCATTAGAGGCGCCTTTTTTAGTGAAATGGCTGGAGAGTTGAAAGAACTCTAGGATTAAGCGTGCTCGCTTAATAAAAATCTCATGATGGGTGACCTCCTGGGAAGTTTTCCATTTCACTGCGGGACAAAACCGTGAGGTGTAGGGCATGCGGGGACTACACGATGGGGTAGGGCGTCCGTGGACTACACCAAAGCGGACAATTCCTCTAGTGATTAGAGTCGGGGCGTGACAGCTTTAATATGAAATCTCGATTTTACAAGTGTGAAATCACATGCTCAGTTCGAACATGATGGACTGAATAAAATCCTAGAAGACGATTTGTTACTTGCAAGATTCATTTGGTGAGTTTCTATTTCAATTTTTCCCAAATCAACTTTGGAATTTTGAGTTTTTTTGATTTGGGATTGAAAATACGTACTTTAATTTGAAGATTGAACGAAGTAATAGTTTCATTTCTTTGAATTGATTGATTTTGTTATTTACAACAGAGCTAAAATGATTATACTTGAATTATAGAAGAGCAAGAATGAGATGAAAGTTGAGTTGCATAAAAGTTAGAAGCGAGATAAGCTTTTATGGGTCCCGGCCGTTTTTGTCCCTCATTGTCAAAATGGTGACTGATAATGTGGTAGGAAGTTTGTTTTTGTTTCAAACTCACACTAATTAATATTATGATGGATTGTAGTTAGTTAGGATTCTATTTTTGAAACTAAATTGTAATGTCCTGGTTTGAGGATTGAATGTATGTAATGATGACTCTTTGCCAATAATAAAAGATGTATAAACATTGCCTTTTAACTATTTGTTTAAATGTGTGAATGAGTATTACTGTTGTACACATTGAATTTTGATAAATAATATGAAAAATGGACCTAAAAAATGGTTCTATTTATCAATTTATGCCCTAGATTTGAGAAGAAAGAGTTTAAAGAAAATGCCCCTCTTTTGCATCATGAATTAGGTTAGAATTTTTTGGAATTGTTCTTTCGGCGGTAATAAATGAGGTTAAAATAGTAAACCAATCACTTTGCCACGTTGAACTGCTATCGTATATTAATTGTTAGGCCAACGTGAGTTCCATTTCGTTCTATTAGACAATCCGACTGTTTATTTCATCTATGAAGACATTAAATTAAAAAAATTGCAAGTCGAAATATCTAATTATCACTATTTTCCGTTCAGACACTAAAAAAATTAAAAATATAAATTTAAGTGCCAAAAATAATATTATCATTTTTGTATTAAAAATTCTAATCATCTTATTTTGGGAAGTTGATATATAATTTTCAAAATGAAGGTACGTAAGGAACAAATATCATTTGATGATGATCATGTTATAAGTCGGAAAATTTAAAATTTTTTTATATGTTAGACTTTAAATAAAAATAAAAATTGAATGACTAAAAATGAAAAATTGGAATTATATAACCTTAACAAAACTAAATATAAATTTAGGTCATTGTTGGTATAATTTACCCAAGTTAATTATCCAAAAAAAAAAAAAAAAAAAAAATCTCAACGTACATTGGCCATTGCCCTTCAACCAAAGAAGTCATTGTTTTATCTTCAGGGTATTTTGTGTTTGATCTTCTAGGAATTTAATTAATCAGCCTATCGAGATCTCGGAAGGAAGGAAAAGAAAGGAAGGAGAGGAATGGAGGAGGAGAAGCAGCAGCAGCCGCCGCAGGGTGCATCATACACATATTGGGTGAGGGAAGCGACGGCAGATGCGGCTCCTCTTCCTCTTCCTAAGAAACTCTCTACTAATGATTTAATTACCTCACAATCTCAGCCACCAACATTGGGTTCCGTCTGGAATCGGGTATTTTTAAATCTCTTGTTCTTTAAGCTTTTGGGTGTCTGTATGTTTTTGTTTTGATTTTTGATTAATACCTATGCAGGCTGGAACTTGGGAGGAGAAAAACCTTAATAAATGGGCAACTGATAGGATAAAGGTCTGTACCTCCACAAACCAGTAAGCCATTTTTCCTTTACTTTTCAGTATTAATAACAAAATAGTATTATGGGCATGGCGTGCTCTTATTATAATATTCTGGTAGTCAGTGTTTATACTGATTTTTCTTTTAATTGCAGGAACTTCTTGTGTCAGTTGGCTCCTTGGAGTTCTCCTGTGGCAAAGCTGAAATAACAGAAGTGTCAAAATGTTTGGGTGACGTGAGTTCTTGTAACTATTACATGTTATTGTTTGTTCCAGTTTCTTAGTTAGAGCTTTACGTATTTATTGCTGTTTTTACGCATGCATGGATATAATCCTGTTTGTTCTGGTTGTCTAATGCTTGGTTGATTGCCATTATTTCACTTTCCAAGTCCCTATATAGACAGGATCTAAATGGAAAACCAAGTCATTCTATGGCATTGTTAGCAGATTTAGCACAAAACCGTGAATGTGAATTTGAGCATGTGCGTGTGCGCACAGAACATGAGCTGCAGGGCTGCAGACCAGAATAAATTGTGAAAGTTCTTGTCTTTGCTCTTTGATATTGCGTGTAAATTTATCATGGTTGTTGTTCCACTACACATTATTAAATTATTTCTTCAAATTTAACTGATTATTACTTAACTAAAGAAATTAAAGAAGTGAATTTGTGAGAGGCTGTTTCTCTTTAACTGTTAACTTGTAAACAGACTACTTATCGTTATTTTCTGATTAAGCAGGCATTCTTGGTGACTGTGAGAAACAAGAAACGAGTTGGCTATACTTATGAGTTGACATTGAAAATCAAAGGTAATTTGGTGCCATCTAACATGGATTCTCTTTTATTATTAGTCTATTTATGCACTAATTTGAGTTGAGTTGACAATTGGAATAGGGGAATGGACAGTCAAAGAGGAGAAAAAGAATGTGAAGGCCCATATAGATATCCCAGAGTTTTCTTTTGGTGAGCTAGATGACTTGCAGGTGCGTTCTCTATTTTCATTCAAATGCTTAAATGTACAAAGTGAATTATGTAAAGTAATGAATGGAATGTCCTTGCTCTAATTGGAATGACTATGGAGAGAAATCTACAAAATAAAATACGTGTATGCATGTTTTATTCCATTGTTCTTTTCCTTGTGACATTGACCCCATGGTGTTTTTTTTGCCATTATATACTAAAATTCAATAGATTCTCTTCATTTATTTTTAAAGGAGACAGGAGACAGAAAAATGGTTTTCATAATATTTTAAAACAAAGTAAAGGAAGTTCATTGAAAATCTATATTTGTAATTCTATACATTTGAAAGATTTAGCAAATTTGGGTTAAGGTGTCTGATAGTAGAGGTAGATTAATGATGACTTGAACGAAATGGTCAAGTAGCATTTAGCATTACAGACTCTCCTAAAGTGCAAAATAAATCAAGCAAAATAGAGAAAATATATCCTTATCTAACCCCTTTTAAATATGAATTCTGGCTGATTTAGTTTGAGTGTTGTGAAGTGAATTTCATAATTAGAAATTGAAATGTGTTTACACATTTTAAAAAAGCTAATTTTCGCCACCCTCCCTACTATATTAAATAACAAAAGGGACATGGTTGTTAATGCTTTAATTTTATAGGTTCATTTATTTCAATGGATTAGATTGTGAAAATGACCCAGAGTCAGTATGTTACATTAGAGCCATATGGTGATGGAGTGGAAAAGGGCCCAAGCTTAACTATCATGGAGATTTTGCTTGTTCCCCCTTTTATCCTGTAGCGGAGGTGGCGGTGGTGGATTTGAAGGTGATCGATTGAAAGTTGGGGTTCTGAGTAGGGTTAAGGGCAATTTTGTCCTTTGATCTTTACGCTTCATTGCTTGACACGTCAAATCCGACGCGTCAAGCTATTTGGCGTTCTATTCAGCTTTATTTTTAACTATTAGTGGGTCCCATGCTTCCTATTCATATTTTTGGCAAGTCACGTAGGACGGAAACACCTGATTGAAAAAAAAAATATTGGTCCTGACACTTGATTGCAAACGTTTTCCGTTGAGACATTAAAATAAAAAATTTTCGGAAGTTGGGGCACTAAATATAATTAAGCCTAAAAAAAAAAAAAAAAAAAAAAAAAAAATAGTTTTAATTGGGGCCTGAAAAATTTTCTTACTCCATTTTCTCTCCTCTATTTTTTATCCTCTTCTCTTTCTTTTCATATTCCATTTTTTTCATGAATAAAGAGTCAGTGCTATTTTGCGCTCTTTTTATTGAAATCACACTCATGTTGCCTGTACCAGACTTAATTTAACAATTAGGTTTAAGCATTTTGATAAGGTAACTACATTGATTGGGGTGGTGCCTAAAGCCTATTATACTTTTATGTCTAAAAAATGATGTCTATATTGATATGATTTAAAATTGGAAATACAGCATGGTTTGTCTAGTAAAATTAGGGTATAATCTATGTTAATATTCAATGGATGGTGATCTATTGTTATGATTGGGTCGATACACTACATAACGACTGGCATTTGAAACCTTGAGCCGAGCGTGAGATGGAGAAGTTGGGGGAAAAAAAGAAAATTAGCGTTCTTGGATCTTAATGGAGAAGTGGCTCTAAATTGCATATAATGAGGGCAGAGGATCCATGTAGAGATTATAACTAGTTTGTTATTAAGTGTTAGTTAAGGAATAGTATATTCAGTTTCAATCCTAATTACTGCTGTCTTTTTCCTAAATTATGCATCTACTGTTAGTCTACACTAACTATTGTGCATGTTGGGCGTTTTTGTGTGGTTATTGAAAAAAGGAGAAGTTTGTGCGGAGTAATCATATATTGACTTGTGACCGTTCAGAAACTTTTTTTAAGGTAGATATGACATATTTTAGTTCATAAAATAGTTAAACAGCAAATTGCCTTTTGTAACACCTAAAGGAGTTCATTTTTGGAAAAGCAATTTCCACTTCAATATCTAATGGACCCATAATTCAATTCGTTTCTTCACACTAAAAAGTAAAATACTTATTAGGAATGCTTTGTACAATCGCCTAGCAATTTAAACCATTACCAAATGGTGGAGTTTAGCATGTTGGCATATGTGGAGTTACATCCAAGTGATGCAGATGCACTGTCAGGATGTGGGCATCAAGCTAATGATTGAATATATATTTTGCTTTTGATATTGCAGATGGAAGTGCGGCTTAGTGATGAGAAAGATCTTCCGCAGCAAGACAAGCAGCAAATCAACCGGGATCTGAAGCTGTTCCTGAAGCCTGTCCGTGAAAAATTGCTTCAGTTTGAGCAGGAACTGAAAGACCGGTAGATAGGGGCGCTAGAACATCCAATTTTCCTCAGAAACCTTAGCTTGTGATCCCTGGACTGTAAAACTATTTATTCTCAATTCTTAGAACTGATTGTTTTGCAATACACGTAATGGGATATAAATTCAAGGAAGCAAATGCTTTGCTTGGTCATGTTTAGAATGTAGACAAACCTTGATATCATTTGGGACCAAAATGGAAATTTTATGCATTTGGATTTGGTAAAATATGAAATGTGAAATGTACCAAGTTTGATGGGAGGGAATAGGGATGACTCTATCTAAAAATGTTTCTGCCTGCAAGATTTATCTTATTGCCAACATATTTATGGTATGTAAATTGAACACGTGATGATAGTTTTGAAGTGAAAAAAAAAAAAAAATATATTATTTACTGTAAATTTAAAGAAGTCTTAAAAATATTTACACATTCTGAAATAAGTGTTGATGTTCCCCATTCTCAATAAATTGTATATTATAAAATAAGCTAGGGATAGCGATTTTATATGATTTGGTTGATTTTTTGATAAGAAATTGATTGATTTTCTCACTAATAAAAGGAAATAGAAATTTCAAATTTTAAGTTTTTGTGATCAAAATTTGAACATTTAACTGTTGAAATTCTGAAGCGCCTAGATATTGTTATATTTGGTTGTTGCTATTGTTTTTAGCAACAATTAAATCAAATATGGCTTATGTGATTGTAACAATAGCAATATGCAATAACACAGTATTATTATTATATTATGTGCATTCGGTTGGTTCAATTTAAGGAATATTAAATTGAATCCAATATGATTTTTATTTTTGTGGAATTTATATAATGAAAACCGAACCAAAGAAAAAAAAAAAAATCAATTTTGTCAAATCTATGCTTAGCCCTTGGCACCACCGTCCAAATATAAGAGTGTAACAGGGACATGGGATTAGGAAAAATGCCAATGATTTGGTGACAAGATGCCAGTTCAACTTAATTATGTTGCAATTCTAATCCAAAACTAAAGCTTGTTTCATTAAAATTATAGACCTAGTATTCACATCCAATAAAGAAAATATATAATGACAGGTTTACAACAAGAGAGACATAGTAAGAATCATATTCATGGCTGGACTTTCCCTTGTTTTTGCAGGACAAAATACAGAAAGAGAAACACACAAAAAGATAATCTTATAATCTCCATCATCATATGATTCTTGATACCCTTTTCAAGGTGTTTCTCACTCTTCTCACCTTTGGTTTGATGCTGTTTTTGTTTGATAGATTCATGTTCAAGTGTCTTGTATTGCTGTGTCTATATGCATGAATATTCTTTGATTTTAATTCCTCTCAGTTTGTTTTTATTTTTTTTAATCTGAACAGTCAGTATGACATTTTAATCCACACTCTTTCTAGCTTATTGCTTGATGCTTTAATTTTGTTTCGTAGATTATAATTCATTTGGAGGTTTGATTCATCTTAATCTTCTTCCACCATGCACCTATTTCTAAATCATTTCCCAATTCCTTAACTATCTGCTTTCACTTGACAGTGGCTGTTGATGAAAAAGTTGAGCTCACATCAGAAAACTATGAACTTCCAGAATGTTATTTACATGAACAGAAGGGAAATGCAAACTCACTGTATTGGAATCTCCCCCTTTTATTCTGGGACAAACACTGAGTCAGTAGACTTTAGATCTTTAAATAGAAATCTTCCATCTACTCTTTTGCACCAATGCACACCATCAAATCCATTCAATTCTATCGCACGAGTATCAAATCATTCTATGAGAACTTCTGGTATTAACTCTCTTGATTCCGCATTTCTTCTGGATGGAGAGCTACCCGTTGAGTCTGACAATTATGACTCGACTACTTGGTTAGACTTTCTTGATATTCCTGTAGAGAGTTCAGTTGGAAGCTTTCCGAGTTTGCAACAAGCCAATGAGAATTCAAGAATGATAGAGAAGATGGGAATAGAGATTCCTCATGACAAAGATACTGGGAATCCTGCACCTGCTGTGAGTACTTCTTACTAAATAAGTACACATTCAGGGTGAATTAAGAAAATGATGTTCACATATGTAGTTTACAAATCTTTGTAGGAAATATTTGAAGTGCCTCGAATGTCACTGATCCCTGTCATTGACTTGGATTGCAAAAAAACCCATCGTTCTTCGTTTGGACGGAAGGACAATAGTGCCGCTTATTTTGACTATGGAGTTCCTCAGGCTGAAACTTCATACAGACAAAGAATGAGATGGACACCTGAACTCCATGACCTCTTTTTGGAAGCAGTTAAAACTCTCGGTGGCCTTGAAAGTGAGTCCAAGATCTTTGACTCTGAAAGAATTACTAATTTTCATACTTTTCTTCTATGCTTACAATAATTTTATCTATTAATCATAGATGCAACTCCAAAGAAGATACTGGGAATTATGAATGTTGTGGGCTTAAACATAGACCAAGTGAAAAGCCACTTGCAGGTAAATTTGTACTCTCCATATGCTCTTTATGTTGTAGAAACAGCTGCAGAAATTGCCTTTTCCGTTTCAGAAAAAAAATATACATATATGATTTTGCAGAAATGTCGGCTTGCTAAGAATTTGTCAGATCAGAAACATGGTAAGTTGGCCTTGTTCTGGACTTTCTTTCTCATTTAATAGGTATAGATTCGAATTGACGATGGCTTTGGTATAACGGCGTGTGGAATGCTCTGTGCACTCACCTTCTAATCAGATATTCAAATTACTAAACCGAACTTTTGTCGCGATAATGGCAATTCGACTCTTTCTCTCTTGCTTTTGATTGAAGTGACAGTTAATCCTAATTGCTTACATGCTTAAACTGTTGTATGTCAGACAGAAAGGCTTCCAGTGTAGAGAAGAATGCAGCTTGTCTGAATAAAGATAGTGAAGCAACTAGCAAGAGGTTAACCATCAGTATCATTTTCCCCGCTTTTTTTGTTTTTCAATTCATAAAGAAACCTCCAATTTATATTCCTTTTACAGTGATATAGAAGTACTGGAGTCTTTGAATATCCAAATAGAAGCTCAAAAGCTGCTGCATGAGCAAATTGAGGTGCCTTTCTCTTCTCTTATTTTTCTTTTGCCAAAGCTATTCCTAAACTGTGGTACTAATGAAAGTATGAGTGGGTTTTGATTGTGGAGGAAAACTGAAACAACAACAATAATAACAACTACGCCTTAGTTCCAAACTACTTCGATTTCATAACGTGTGTTTGACTGAATTTTACGTTCGATGTCAAGCAACTGCAACCCTCCTTGTACCGAGCTCTGCAACCCTCCTTGTATCGAGCTTGGGACCGGCTATGCTTCACACAGGCGGAGTTATGGAGGAAAAATGAAAAAGAATAAAAAAAAAGACGCAGAAGTCCTAAATCATTGTTTAATCCTAGCTTTTAAAATCTGATAATTATCCTAAATTTTGATGAAGTATGATTTAATTGTCCAGGCACAAAGAGAGTTGCAGCTACGCATACAGCAGAATGTAGAGTTGTTGAAAAAGTTAATGGAAGAACAGCAACAGAATGCAATTCCTAAACCTATCCATGATGTGCCAACTTCCATTTCAAACTGTGATCAGCTATCTCCCTCCTCATCAAGGCCTGTGATCAATTACTGCTCTGCATCTCAACCATCAACTCATGAAGCTACCAAAAATCATTTAAAATCTAACAAAAGGCTCCGAGGAGAGCAGTAATTTTTCCTTCTTCTTGGGCATGAATCCTATGCCAATGAGATGGCCGATCTGTGAAAAAATTGCATGAATAATTGAACCAGTAGATGATATTAAATTCCAGATCAAGCAGACTTCAACCAATGCAAGTTCTCATGTATAAAAGAAAATAACTTTCATAAGAAAAAATTGATTATTCAGTTTTTCTTCGTAAAAATCAGTTACCATGCAACTGATTATCCATGATTTGACTCATAAGCAAAGGATAGGAAGAAGATGACATGATAGGAAAGATCGGAAAAAACAAAACCAACGAGTAGATTGAACCGTGTTCATATCTGAAAATAATAGCCTGCCGAATCAAAGTACAAGATTAAGCAATAATCCTTTAATAGACTGGACAAAAAATGTTACCATTTCCCCATCTTCACATACATAAACTTCCGCATGAAAACAATGTTAAATATATCTAGTTCATGGCATCCACCATGAGCAGAACTGCTGTTTTTGTGTTCATGATCATTACCAGCACAATTGTTGTGCTCATCACTGCAGACCTGGCTATCACTGCATTGTCTTGCCACAGTTAGGGCACCATAAATATCACTTGTCACCACTACCATTACAGTTAAAAGCTTTTTCTCTTAACTTTAAAATCCAAGGGCGAGAATAACTTCTCAGGGACAGCGGCCCGGTATATAAATCCTGTTTAGACTAGATTCAACACTGGCATTTGGTAGCAAAAAACTAACAGGAGGCCAAACGTACTGGGTAATATGCTTTTCTCCTACCTTTTTCTCTTGCGTGATCCACTAAGAGCTGCTTTAATATTTTCCCACTCTTTCAATGATGCATCTGTCCTCATAAATGAGCAACTCTCACCTATCAAAACACCTCCAACATTTGTTCTCAGATCAAATTGCTTTTTCGCTGATCTATATATGTTCTCTGTTGGAGGTGCAGCTTGCTTTGTTGCTGAACCGTATTTACCATCAATCCTGTTTGGTAGGCTGAGTTTCTGCAGGCCCTTCCAGTTCTATTTTGTCCAACACTCCTTGATTTTCTGTTTGACCCCTCTGATTTTCATGCCTCAATAATTTATTGTTCTTGCTGTTCTTGGAGTTTGGTGTACTATCAGAATCCTGTTTGGTAGGCTGAGTTTCTGCAGTCCCTTCCACTTCTATTTTGTCCAAGACTGCTGGTTTGTCTGTTTGACCTCCTTGATTTTCATGCCTTAATAATTTCTTGTTCTTGGAGTTTGCTATACTATCAGAATCCTGTTTGGAAGGCTGAGTTTCTGCAGGCCCTTCTATTTTGTCCAACACTTCTTGTTCATCTGTTTGACCTCTCTGATTTTCATGCCTCAATAATTTCTCATTCTTGGAGTTTGGCATACAATCAGAATCCTGTTTGGCAGGCTTAGTTTCTGCAGGCACTTCCACTTCTATTTTGTCCAACACTTCTGGTTTGTTTGTTTGACCTTTCTGATTTTCACGCCTCGATAATTTCTTGTTCTTGCTGTTCTTGGAGTTTGTTATACTATCAGACTTGGATTTCTCTTCCTTATTGGATGAAATTCCAGGCAATATATCTGATATGTTCATTGCACTGCTGCTCTTATTCCCAATAAGTTCTCTCCAAGAAGACTTCTGTGACCATGAAAGCTTAGGATCTGATTGTTTGGCAATTGACTCTGGTTCAATGAGTTTAGCCTCCAAGATATTTCCAGGCTCATTCAAGTTAGACTGAAAACTCCCATTGCCTTCAGAAACAGCAGACACAGATCCCTTTCTATTACCGTCATCATGTCTTCTTGTCTGACTCTTGAGCACATCTTGAGTTGGTCCATCTTTGGAAGCTTGCCCTTTATTTAGCTTTGACTCCTTGGTATTTGAGAAAGAAAACAAAGTTAAAATTGTAAATGATATCAAGGCACTGCCAAGTAAAAAACCAAACTCCATTAATTAATGTTAAGCCATACCTGATCAGTGAAGGCTGTTTCCTTTCGTCTCTGTACCACATTAATAATGAGATTATCGTCATCTTCAGTGGAGTATCCTTCATTCTCCTCAGATTGGAAATCATCAGACACTTTGATGGAACTTTCTTGTTCCTTCGTCAGTACAATGTCACTATGTGCAGTGGCTGAAACATTTTCTATCTCAAAGAGCTTATTCATCACAGAGTTCATCATATCAAGTTCTTCCTTACTCATCCCACCACCTTGTTCTTCCAGAACAGGAATTGCTTTTTTTTCAGTAGTATAGACAGAACCTGAATGTTCCTCACAATCACAGAAATGTGTAGGGAGAGGAGGAACTTCAACACGTCTGAAACTGTATCTGTGCTTGCCAGTTCCACTGAATGGCAGTGATTTCAACTGTAAAGAAACAGGGTAAGCATACAAAATAATTGGTACTGAGGTGCTAGATAATGATGAGCATGGATACTTGCAATTTTGTTAAAAGTTACCTTTTGCAACCTTGGGAAAAAAATCCGCAGCTGCTTCTTTTCTGAACTGAGCTCTTTCATGGGCTTTTTGAAAGACTCCATATTCTTATCCGTGTCATCATCGGCAGCAGCAGTATATGTACTACTTGCAAGTTGAGCATCTTCAGCCCATTCCTGCTTCAAACGATCAAGATAATGTTCTTTTGCCTTCTCAAGTCTCAATCTCTTACCCTTCCAGACACAACCATTGTACTGCATATGACAATTTTATTTAGAGGGTAAATGACAGCAGCCTCATGAATCAAATATGGAACTAAGAAAAGGGGTTTTCCACAAACAACACTTAACAAAAAAAATTTTTAAATTTCTTTTAAACATCAAAGAGGCTAAGATGGTTCAAACTTTTTATTTAAATCCAACACATGAATTTTTCTATGGAATTTCACCAAATGTTTGATGTTAATTCTATACTGAACTCAACTAAACCCTAATCCCAATATGAAATGCTAGCTGGGGTCAGGCATATGAATCCGTTTTCACTATTTCTCCTACTTTATAACTACAGTTTCTTGAAGGTACATAGCGTCTAGATCCTTATTCACTACTCATACAGAAAACGAAGGTTCCACAAGAACAGCCATAAATGAGCACAAACAAGACGTGTTAACTCTTTTACAAACAGGGATACAACAAACAATAAAGAATGGAATGTAACTCAACACAAAATAATGAAAGAAAGAGTGAAGAATACAGTGCTGAAGAGCTTGGAGAGGGAATTATGAGACGAAGGAGAGAAGTCAATATAGGCAAAGCTCCGGCCTTTGGTTCTGATGATGTCCACTGCTTTAATATCACCGCCGATTTTTGAGAATATGGTGCATAAATCATCGCTGGTAACACTTTCTCCCAATCCTCCAACGTAAATTCTGGTGGTCGAATCATCTTCTCCTCCTTCCATATCTGATATACTTGCTTCTGTAGCTGGGTCGCCTCTTCAGCTCTTCTTTCCTCAAATCTTCTCACCCTTTTCGGCGCTTGTTGCAAGTTTGCAGCAATCAGCTCTTCTTATTTTTATTTATTTATTTATAATTTCGAATTTATTTATATTAATATTGCTAATTAGAGGTAAACCGGTTCATTACGGACGAGTTATATTGAAACCGGGTTCGGTTTGTTAAAGGTAAATTTAAATTTAAACTCCGTTTGAGATCCATGAGTTCACCTCAATTACTATTTATCTTTTTTATCTTTTTTTTTTTGGATTAAAATTTAAGTTCAAGCTCTATTTATTTATTAAACAAATTTAATAGTAAACAAATTCAATATGGAGATTCGAACTCAACTTAATAAGTATCACGAACTGAAGTTAAATGAACTTTTTTAGAATTGAACCTCAAGCGGCTAGTTAGGCCTTAAAAACAATAAACGTAAATGATGACCGATAAAAGTGAGCAAACTATTAGTTCCATTCAAATTGAATAGAGCCAAGGTTAATATGCAAACCAAAGTGAAACCGAATTGATATTAGCAATTGAATCGAGTAAGCCAATTTGGCCGGATTTTGATTGGATTTTGCCATATCAATTCGATTTAAGTTTGATCAATGAATTCTATTGAACCGACTCGATCAAAAAATAAATTTGATTTAAACTGATAATTCGAACAGAACCGAAATGGGTCGGTTGGATCGGTGGTTTTGCACACCTCTAGCAGACTGGGCCTTTAAAACGACGTGGTTTAGCAAACGTCATAGATTATAAGCTCTAGTTGAAGGTTTGTGCCACATAACTGAAAGGGCCAGACTTTGCCAGTGACCACAAAACAATGGCGTAATTTCGCGGCGTAATATTTTACTACGAACTACAAATACAACCGCAAGAAACAGAGAAACTGATGAAGAAGATGCCTTTCAAGAAAGAGCTTTGCAGAAACTTTCAGCGCGGAAGGTTACTCATCCTCCGCTACTTCTTTTGCTCATAAGATAAATTAGGGTTTTCTTTCGAGCTCAGATCACTTCTCTTGTAATTGCTGCTTTACTTGCTAGGTATCAAATTACAATCATTTCAAATTTGATAGCTTTTAGACAACTCAGAAGAAAAAGTAAGAGAAAATGAGAGAAAAATAGACGAATGCTTTGTATTGTGATGCTCAGTTTTGTTATTAATTGACGTTTGATTTTCTTGTTCAAACGCTTAGTTGAGCTCTGGTCCTTTTCGTTTAGTAAATGGAATTATAATTAGGATTTTGTGTTGTTGGTTGGTTTGTATTTTTGCTGTTGCAGCTGTCAATATGGTGAAAGGTGCAAGTTTCTTCATCCGATTCAACAACAACAACAAAAACCTAATAATAATAACCCTTTTGGATTTGGCTCGCAACAGCAGCAGCAGCAGAATCGGTCTTCTAATCCGTTTGGATTTGGCGTTCAATCAAAAGCCGCCAATGATTTTGGAAACAAACAGCAGCAACAGTTTAAGGTTTTTATTTTCCTTATATCACTTCATATGTTGGGTTATGTTTTGGTTCTTTCTCCCCCTTTTCCTATTTTTATGTTGGATGTGTTCACCACAGAATTTTTGAGGGGGGAAAAGAGAAGGGTTGCAGGGTTTGAGCCCCTAATTGTTTGCACTATGTGGCAGGTACCTTCCACTAGGCTATTGGCAAAATCGTGGGAATTTTCAATGTATCTGTACATCAAAAAACACAAATTTCATGATTTTTTAGTGATTATAAATTGCTTATGAACTAGCCTTTTGAAAATAAATGGACCCGGTTCTCCCCTATATCCAATGGTGGTGGTGGTAGTCAATCCCGACAACCAGATAATCAGCCCCAGGCAGTTAATCACAAGTATGTATCTTGTTCCATAAGTTACTAGTTTGCTTTTTCTGGTCCTGTATGGCCTCGAATTGTTTTTTTTTTCTTTTTAATCTTTCACAAGACTTGATCGTTGTCTTGGTCATCATGTGAAGGTGCACAGATCCTGAATCTTGCAAACGTGAGATTATTGAAGATTTTGAGCATGAGAAACCACTTTGGAAGCTTACATGCTATGGTCACTCAAAAAAGTATGTTTGAACTACCACATCCTTATGGCATTGTTTGTAAGAGATCTAGGATTTGGAACCTATAGAATCTTGATTTTTAAATATATATACCCCACCCCCAAAAAAAAAAAGTCTGCCAAAAACCTAAATTTAAAAGAGCAGCCACATGAACCATGCATGTGGCTGCTCTTTTAAATTTAGGTTTTTGGCAGACATTTTGTTTTTTGGGGTGGGGGGTGGGTGGTGTTTGCAAGGGAGTTGTTTCCATAATGTGTACAATCATTGGATTTCGTTGATTTTCATCTCTCTCTCTCTCTCTCTCTCTCTCTCTGTTATGCAGAGGTCCTTGTGACATTTTTGGCGATGTCAGTTATGAAGAACTGCGGGCTGTTGCATATGATGATGCTAAGCGTGGATTAAGTTTGCAGTCAATTGTAAGAAAATGTGGCATACTGCTTTGCATTTTTACTCTTGTTTAAGGTTCATAAATGCTTAAATTATTTATTAATATCATATTTGTTGTTCCGTTATGTTTTCTTGCAATTTGCTCTTGAACTTATTGCTTGTGGTGTTTTATCGTTAGAAGTTATTGAATTCAATGAATTAACTGAAGTTAGGGAAGTAGAAGTAAAAAATATTGAAGACAAACTTTATTGTATGGAAATGCAGTTTAGGGATTATAAAAGTATGCAGTGATGTTCAAAGAGCAACCCTTTTGAGATGCCAAAATAATAGATAAATGCTAATGTTTGGTCCAGTTCCCAATGAATTAAGCCCTTTTAACATATATCAGTGTAATTATATTGTCATCTTACCAATTCTTGGAAAAAAAAACCCTTTGCATTAATCGTGATTGGCCTTGTCCAGGAGAGAATCAAATGGTTACCACTGAAATAAGTTAAAGAAGCTAATTTATTGGTGTCCTAGTGAGCTTCATCATTTCGATAGTGGTGGTTGTTTCTATGCTTCACTAATTGTCATCTGGACTATCCATTAGTTTCTCAAGCTAAAATATTAAGCTTAATCTTTGTTAGGCTTACTCGTAGTCTGCCTTTCAGTTTAGCATCATAGAGATTGTGATTTCACTGTTTGGTATGAACATGTGCCTGTGTCAAACCTGATGGAAACCCCTACCCTGCCCGTGGTAGCATGGTAGGCATGGGTTTGAGCCACCCTATTCCACCTTGAGGCAACTATACAATTTGTAACTTACCTGATGTAAAATTTTATTTACACTTTGTGTGATAGATTTCTTTTTTGGAACAGTTTGAGGATCTCAGTTTCACTCATGATAAAAAATTTTTCTAAACCTGCTTTACATTGCATGAATGAGAGGGTGGTTTTAATATAGCGGTAAAGTTTCTCCATTCATGACTTAAAGATCATGGGTTTGAGCTACAAAAACAGCCCCTCTGCAAAAAAGCAAGGGGAAAGTTGTGACCCTTCCCAGAGTCCACTAAATATAGGATGCTTCGTGCATCCGGTACCTCTTTCATTTCGTATCAATTAGTTCAATATCATGATGATTCAAATATTAATTGTTGTTATGGATAGAAATTGGAAAAAAAAAATTATCTGCATGATGGGCACTTTCTTTTCACATATCATTTGTATGAATCTGTGAAGAAAATAGTGAAAATGCTGCTCTTGCTTGCATTGAAAATCTCAAACCATTCAAGGTTCAAATTATGATGCTTTAAACCGCAGGAAAGAGGCAGCAATTGACTCCATACTGGAGTATACTTTTCTTTCCTTTTCTTGTTTAAGGTACTTTATCCTTTCTTCTCCCAACAGTAGAAGAGGGAACTAAATTATGTGCACATCCATTATATAAAGGGAAAAAAGGAACAATTACTTAACTTTTCTAAAACAAAGTGAGAGCCATGCACATTTTGATCGTGGATTAATGCATTTCAGTAATGTAATGCTAGTGTAAGCCGTCTACTTTGTTCTATTGTCATGAGTGGTTGCTCCTAGTGCAAATAACCAAATTCCATGGAGTTTTGACATTTTATGGAAGAAATGAAGAATTATTCAACTTAATTGATGCTAGAATTATGTAAAAGGCATGTCAAATCTTCATCAACCAAATGAAAACTGTTTCTTCTCCCCTCCCACTTTAATTCCTAATGTTGCAGAAAAGTTGGAAACTGAATTAATTGCTGTTTTAACTCTATTGGGGCTTATACACAGGTGAGACCTTGTTAATTCCCATTAACCAAGTGAAGTGGACATAGTTCATCAATGGGCAGAATACTCAACTATATTTGATTGACTTGAAATTGATGTGCATTATCTGATATACTACAATCACAACAACTAACCTTAATTCTAAGCTAATCGGGGTCAGCCTTGATAAGCATATTTATCCCAGCATCTGGTTAATGAATTCAATTCCAGAAATAAGTTACGGAATACAGTACAAATTTATATGAAAAAAAAGTCATGCAAGTGCTCAAGTTACTGTTACATTTTGGTTACAATTCTAAAGGTTAGGAAAAGCAGATATGATATAAAATTGGTTCTTCTAAGCAAGTTGTTATGCAACAATGTGAATCAACTAATAAGTAGCACGAACATTATTGTCTGGGAAGGAATCTGAATGCTGGTAAAAATTCCATGTCTCTGTCTATTTACTACCTATTTTATTTTTAATACAGATATATTGATGTTATAGTAGCTATGCACAATTGCTATTGCAGATATCACTGCTTTTATGTATTTATCTACTAGAAATATTCTCATGCCAGGTGGAGAGGGAGAGAAATTTGCTTAATTCCAAGTTGATTGAGTTTGAGAACTTGATTCGAAACCCCTATGTAGCACCCGCAAAGTCTGCTCTCAGCCAGAGTCCGTTTGCAGGAGTCACTCCTCCTGCAATTGCAACTAGTGATCAAAATAATGCCCCTCCTTTAGTATCCAGTTTCAGTCAACTGGGCCCGTCACTTAATGTGGAGTCTGGAACGAGGCATAGATCTTTCCTTCCATTCAACTTTTGTTGTTTCATTTTTCTTTTAAATTCCGTCAACTATTTTTCGCCTTTACATGATTAGCTATCATGCCTTGTGAATAGTAGTCAACTAAAGGCTTTTAGAATCCTGTTTAGCACCTTTTCCATTTCTTTTCTCAGGCCTCTTGCACCATCAAGTCATGCGTTTGGGCAAGCAAATCTCTTTGCTAATTCTACTTCCACTGGATTTGGAATGAGGCAAGGATATGTTTCTAGTATTTTAATTTTTGATTCTTGAAAACAGTTGATTCTACAAATCACTAATTTCTTAAAATGTTTCTAAGCTTATACTTTTATTAACTTGTTAAGCAATTTTTCTAGCAGGCCTTCTTCATCATCAAATAATGCCTTTGGGCAACCAAACATCCTCTCTAATTCAAGCCAAACCTCAGGTTCGTTTGGGATAAGCAATTTTGCACCTGCAAATTCTGGTACGAGTTTGAATATTTTGTTATTTTCTTTGTGGTGGATGTATTTATATGGTGCTTCTAATTATCAGCATTATGTTAGGTTCAATTAGCAGCCAACTTCCTAATCAGGCATCTGGAAATCCCTTTTCCTCCAATGTAGCGGGCTTCAGCAACAGCAGTGCAATCATCAATCAGAGCAATCCATTTGATTCTTCAGCAGTGACAAAGCAAGTCACAAATTCATCTACTGCCCAGCATGTCATCATTTCCAATTCACCTAATTTAGCTTCTAATGCAGTTGGGCAAGCAACTGAACATATTCATTCAACGTAAGTATATAGAGGTTGCTTTCATAGCTGTTAAAAAAGGGATACACCTCACCGGCCCCTTATGCTCAAACCCTGAGGGGTGGTTGGTGTTATTGAGGGATACTCTTTTTGGTCTTTACTTTAAGACCAAAAAAAATCAAAAAAAAAAAATGTAAACTAGCAAATTATAACAATTGATTGGTGCAACCATGCCCCAGATTTTAGGATGATTGCCTTAAATTGGTTCAAACTTCTGCTCCAATTCCCCATTACCATATATATACAGTACAACGAACAGGCCCTCTTGTATATACATAAATAGGGATTAAGGTCCTCTCGAGTTTGGTATAAGCATGACCTGTAATGTTTGAACAATTTCAATAATTGATTTTGTAATGTGCAAGTTTAGATCTGTTTTAGAAATTAATTCTGAATTTTTACAAAGTGGGTGGTTATAATGAAATCCTAACCATTCATTATCAAATCAACAGTTATCAAGAGTTGAGTACAAACATGATAGGTCCTGTTGCATAAACATGAGAGAATTTCAGTCCTATAAATAGATGGTACATCAGTTCTATATTTAATAATTTAATACATTCTTCAATTCCAGTTGCTACCCAATTCAATATTTAGTGGAGTTTAGGATTATGGCTTTAGACATTCTAATCAATGGTCAACCTTCTCGTTGAAGGCCCTGAAGGGGTCGGAGAATGTATTAATGCTTATTTTATTGTTTTATGTAACTATTTTAAATACCTGTCTTATGTATGATTAGGTGTTATCTTTTATATTTGTGTGCCTCATGTCTCTCAGGCACACATGTGCCTTGCGTCAAGGCTCTGGTTTGTACCTTGCACCTTGTACCTTTGATAACTTTGCTGCTTTTGTACACGAATTGGCAGAAATTGAAGTTGAAAGTAGATAACTGAGTTCTCAATCAAGAACTTGCTAATGTGCAAAATCATGGGTTTTGAGTTTCAATCTAAAATTATTAATCATTATTGTTTGACATTGTGTTAAGGTTCTGAAACATTGAATTTGCATCAACTTTCTCCAATTTGTTTGTAATTCTTCTAACTGTGTTTCAGCAAAAAAAAAGACCTCCTTTTTTCCTCATACACAACTCCATTAAGTAAACACATTCATCATCCCAATTGAAGTGGTCATGCTTTCATGAATGCGTTAATTTTCATTCATCTCAACTTTTCTTTATCATCGTCAAGACTGTATATTGACAATACCAACTGATGGTATTCTGATATATAATTGTGTAGATAGGTTTGAAAATTTTAGTCTTATACTTTTTGGTATTAAACATATGCAATGATCGATTTGTGTTTTTTTTTTTTTTTTTTTTTTTTACTTTTTGGGTAATTAACATATGCAATGATCGAATTTTGGTGTTTTTTTTTTTTTTTTTTTTTTTTGACAATTACACAGAAATGGCATGCAAAAAGGGAGTTTTTTTTTTTTTTTTTTTTTTTGACAATTACACAGAAATGGCATGCAAAAGGGAGCTGTGGATGCGAGTATTTGGTTGAAAGAAAGCTGGAACCCTGGGGAGGTAATGATTTCTCAAACGGCTTTCTTGAATAGGACATGCAGTTAGATCCTGATTTTACCGTCTGAAGTTTTTGCAATAAGAAATTCATTTTTGGCTATCCACATTAAGAGGCCCAAAAAAACAAATCTGAGAAACTGAAATGTGCAAGCAGCTAGAAAAATCAACACTGCAGCTGCAAATGCAAATATCTTATTCGTGCAATTCTTTTTCACAAGCTTTTATCCACTTCAACTATATTGTTTCTTGACCTTAGTAACTGTCTGATCATTTTACTTTTCTTGTGCATACCAGATTCCAGAAGAAGCGCCTCCAGATCAATATATCTGACCGTAATGTTCTTTTTCCGGAAATGTTAACCATTAGGCTCGTTATAAGCTATGCTAGGATGTTTTCTGTTTAGCCTATTTTTTGAAGCTAGGCTCAAGAACTGCATAAAGATTTTGCCTGCATGCACTTTATGTGAAAGATTTAACAGATGGAATAGAAGATATGTTTGTACTTTGTATACAACACATAAAAAGAGAAACTGTAATATGGATTTTGAGTTTTGTTTAGCAATGTACTGGGAATCAGGCCAGTTACATGAGTGAGTTTATCCATTTGGGGTTTGGCTCTCTCATAATTTTTTTTTTTTTTGCTTTGTATTGATATTGATTTGATCAGAGCGAATATTTAAAACCAAGGATTTATTAACTAGTTTGAGACTAAGCTTTTTATTAACTAGTTTGAGACTAAGCTTTGGTGATGGATGTTATTTTTGCAAATGTGTCAGTGCCATGTTCAATAATTAATCATAACCAGTGAGGTCTCTGTGTTGTAATGGTGAGATTAAATTTAAAACTTTGTTTTAATTAGATGCATATTCTAAAAAATGACAAATTAAGTAAAAAGAGCTACAAGATAATTAGAAAGTGTGTACTGATTGGTAACAATTGGGGGTGTTGGATGATATTTTTTTTTCCTTTCTCATTCATTTAATGAAATAATTTTTAGTTCTTCTGCTAAAAAATAGTTAATTAGGTATTAAAATAGTTGATAATATTTTGAAATGAAAAATAATACACTATAAAAGAAGAGAGGGAGAATTGACATTTGCTGCTGGTCTGGTCTGTCCCACTTGCATAGAGAAAGCAAAAGTGCAATCCATCTATGTTGTGTGTATTATTACTCATAGCTCATGTATCAGCAACAACACAAACAAAAGATTGAAAAATTAATAATTTTCCATACGCGTTTTCAATTTCAATTTTTGAAAAATTAAAAAAATTAATTTTTTTTATTTAAAAAAAAAAATAAAAAACATAAAAGATTCTCAATTTGAAAAAGTCTGAAAGATCGTGCAGACAGTGTATCTGTGGGACCCATGTCTGCTCTGTCATCTTAAAACTCCCCAACCCATCTCTTACTGAACCTGAACAACTGAACCATAATTATCCAATTAAACTATTCAAAGAATAAAGACAAAATGCTCTTGTAATTTTTTTTTTTTTAAACTTTTTACCAAAGAGCAAAGACATTAATATATAAGTTGACGTAGCTAGGGGTAAAAATTTCTTTCAAATGCTGTTTTTCGAGTCTCAAACTAAGTATATATTGTTTTTACAAATATGAATTAATTTTCCTATTTTACCCTTTTTCTTTTTCAGTAAATGGGTAATAAATACTTTCATTTCTTAAAAAAAAATTTCTATTAATTTAAATTATGAGTGAATTCATGTACCCAAGTGATTCAATGATATTAGGAAGTGGTGCAATTTACTTTTGGATGAGAAGAAGACAAGTTTGAAGTGGTGATTTTTCAATGCATGTGGTATGAAAAAAATAGTGAATAGGAATAAAGTATTACAGAGAATGATATATGTAAAGCGAAAAGGACAGTGGCTGTGGCTGTGGCTGTGGCTGTGGCTGTGGCAGTGGGTGTCACGTCCTCTCTGTGAGTCAAAGACCCTTTTAAGCTACGCCCTATACCAACTCAACACTTTCCAAATCTTTGTTAACGAATACGTGCTTCCATGTTATCATTTCTTCCATTTCATTTTCATTTTCTTTCACAGTCAGACCCCAGCTCTTAACTGGCCCATTCTTCTGCCTTTTTTTCAAGATTGTTTGGTATACTAGTTTAACATTGATAGGTCTAAGCATTCAGTTGGTTTGATTCAAATGAAATGAATAAAAGCCAAATCAAAATTTTAAGAAATAAAATCAAACCAAAATAGTATATTGGAATCTGATCGAATTGAACCAAATCGAAATTTTTATATATTTTTTTGAGAGAAAAAGATTCACGTAACAGATTTTAACTAGATTAAGATGTAATTATTATTGCATGTCTTATGCTTTGTTTATTTGTTAATATGGTAAATGATTTTAGATATATATTTTTCCAAAATCACTTTTAAACATGAAGTATTTTCAAAACTTTTCTAATTTTATACTTTGCTTTTAGAGGAACTGAGCGAAGAAATAAAGAATTCATATAGCAAACTCCAATCGGTTAGGGATTAAGGTTCGGATAGTTGTTGTTAGGTTATTTTTTAAGGCTCGTGAAATTTAATATTATGGTTTTGATAAGCAAAATACCTAATGCATATAATTATTATTATCGAGAATATTTAAAAGAGATGGAGTTGTTAAGATTTAAATCTCTGTATTCTCATAACGATATATAACTAATTATTGGTGCTTAGTAGGTTAAACTATGAATTTTAAAATGTTACTCAATTGTATATTCTTTATACTAAAAATTTACCAAAACCAAATTCAATCAATCCATTCATTATATGTATGCTTTACCTTAACAGACCACACCAGAAAACCAAGCTAGTCTTATAATTTAAAAAAAAAAAAAAAAAAAAAAAATATAATTAAAAAAAAAAAAAAAAAAAAAAAAAAAAGAAGAAGAAGAAGAAGAAGAAGAAGAAGAAGCAGAAAAAGAAATGTCAATGTTAATCACGCCATAATTAGAGGTTTGAAAACTAAAAACACATTTATAAAAATAAATCTTATTTTGTATCTAAAGATGCCTCATGGATCTAAATTATATGATTAAAAATTAACTATTTTAGTAGCTGTTAATTGTTTTAGAGTTGTTTGGCAATACTAGCTGTATATAAAACTGTTTCGGTTAAAAAGATTTGATAAAAATAATTATTTGATTAGCTATTGAATTTAAAATGACAAAAAAGACATTTAAATATAACTATAGAAATGAACTCGTTACAACAAAAAAAAAAAAAAGAGATAATTTATAGTATGTGTTAAGAACGTCAATCTATAGTATGTAGTCGTCTAATTATATAAATTGAAATAATTATCATTTCTAAAATTATAATACAATTTTCTCACATATTCCTCTATTATTCCTCCTATTAATTCATTATTTAAATATTTATTTAATTTTTTTGTCAAAAAAAATGTAATTTTTAACTTAATTGCCAGACTTGTAGTATCATAGCAACCAATTGAAAAGAAAACTTTAAAGTTCTGTTAATATTAAGTGTAATTAAGGACAGAATTGTAAAAAAACTTTCAATCAAAAAAATGGAATCACAAACAGTTAATAGATTAACGTTTTTAATAAACACTATCTTTATTTTACTACTACTATTTTTATTATACTTGATATTAGCGAACTGAATTACAAAACAAATGTTTTGACATAGTCAAAATTCTAAAACGCTTCCTCAAATGATGTTGTCGAATAAAGCATAATAGGTGTTTTTCTAGTGTTGCGTGTTCAAGTATCGTGTTTATATAACGGCTAAAAGCCAAACAAACCTTACATGACGTTGTAATTTTTATTTAAAACGTTAAACGATTACATAGTTAATTTTTATAAAAATTTTATATTAATCTTTAAAAAGTTAGCCGAGCTAGAAATTTAGAGTTTAACAGTTTAACTGATTCAAAGCTGTTGTGAAAACAAAATCTAAGACAATTTCCTGCCATTATTATAAATTTTTTTCCTCACATTAAAGCACCCCCAGTTTCCCTTTCAAAAAATAAAAAAAAAAAGCCCCAGTTTAAAAAAAAAAAAAGAAAGTTTAACCCCGCCTCAATACACAACCCGGGAACCAATTGTCAAATCCAAGCCTATCCAAATTTACTTACTATTTTGTTCACAAGCAAGTAAATATATGAATAATTAATTAATAATACAAATCAATTCCACTTTGCTACAAAGAAAACAGGAAGGAAAGGAAAGGAAAGGAAGCTAGAAGAGAAGTAACAGTGTAAAGGGAAAAAAAAAAACTATGTGAAATCAACATCCAGCAAAGGCGTTAAGGCTTTATAAAACAATACCTAAGGGAGATTGGGTATATACACATTGTCCAGCGTATCTCAATATGACTCCAACTCTTTTCCTTCATGTACTCTGCTCCTCTTCCTCCCTCCCTCCACTACCAAAGAACAATCAATGTCGTTTCTTTTCCTACCTTTCTTCTTCTTCTCCATTCTGCATTCTCCTTCAGATCGCATCTGCCATTGCGTGCTCATGAAGATGAGCCCCTTGCGATTCATGTTAAGGATCCAACTTTCAAGTTTTGATAATCCAAGGCTTTGTCGCCAACCTACATGCCTTACAAGCATGTGGAAACAAAGGCTATTCTAACTCTGACCCTTTCAACTTTCACAAAGCCAACTGGAATGCGTCCAGATGTCTGTTCTGTACTTGGGTGTTTTTTTGTCTCATTTTCCTAAAAATCCCAAAAATTAAAGAGTAAGTTGCTGGGATTGATCTGAACCATTGGATATTGCAGGCTATCTTGTCCTCCTGAGCTTGTCTTTTTGACAAGATCTAGCTCTCTTTCCATTATCAACTCCAAACAGATTTTTGTGGGTTGTGCCTTTCCACTTTTCATAAACTTAAGCTTCTTCAATGAAGCTTGACAGTTAGTAACAACCGGTTTGTTGGAAAATTTCCGCAAGGTTGTTCTTTCATTGCCTGCCTATGAAAATATTTGGATTACGGTCAATGAGTTTGAAGTTTCTGTTCCCTTCCAAAAAGCTCTTTGATCAACCGTTTTGATGGCGATATATCTTAAGATGACAACAGATTCCAGTTTGGAATTCCTCGGCAATCTTGGAAACTCACTCCAGTTTTTTTCTTTTCTTGCCAAAACAACAATTCTTGGAGGTTGGCATTCCAACCAGCATTGCAATAGGTAAAACCCTTAATGAGATTATTCTTATGAATTGATAACTCACTGGTTTGTTTGCCTTCTGAAAATTGGGTTGCTCAAGCAAGTTACAGTCCTTTGACGTAAGCTTTAACCCATCTTCAAGGCTTCATTGCCTGTCTTACTATTGGTAAGTATGGAAGAAGGTGAGCAACTTGATATTGCACAGTAACAGTTTCACAGTTTATTAAACCAGCTAAGTGTTTGCCCAATTGCCTAATTTGCAGACCTTAAACCTATTCTTCTCAACTACTTTCACCGGGGAAAGCTCCAAGCCTTGTGCTGCTATTGGAGGCAGGTGGTCACTAACTACCAAAAACGGTATTCCTGGTAAGTTTGATATCAGAGATTCTGCCAAAAAGGAATGTTCTTCAAAACGCTTGCACGTCCTGTGACTGCAGTAAATTTCAAATGTGGTGGAGGTTCTAGCGTGGCGGCGGTGAGTGCGGCGGTGGAAGCAACCCTTCCTTCAACCAAAGAGAAGACCTCCGTTTGGAAGGCCCATCTGTGTACCAAAGCCTTGGCCAACTCCAAATGAGGCCAAGTTATCGTCCTTCACCGTCCACCAACACTTCCAGTCTTCACCTTCTACCAGATCACATTTGCCTACCTCCCCCTCCCAACAACGTCATTCAACCCCACCATCTTCACGCCACCGCCTGGCTGAAAAGGTATCCACCCAACACAAAATTACATCTGCCACCACCATCACCTCCTTATCGAGCACTCATTCCCACCTCCTCCACCTAGCCATTCCCATTCTTATGCTCCACCCCCGCCTACTAAAAAGGTTCGCCAAGTAAACCATTCAAAACTCCCTCGCCGCCACCAGTGAACAGACACCCTCATGGCACCTGGAGCAGTTTCACCCCACCTGCCACGTACAAACCACCTCCCTATCAAGGTACATGAGAAGCACCGCCACCGCCAACCTGTCGAGTTGTACAACCCACCGGCCTAATAACATGAAGCACTCCACCACCACCTGTTAAATTATCATTGCCCCTCCCTTATCAATACCATCCATCACCACCGCCCGCCTCCTCCAAACCAAGCGATATGGCTATTACACACTCGTCCTCTCCAAACTCATGAAGCAGTTCACCGGTAAGTCCGCCTCCTCCTTCCACAAGAAATGGATATACACACTCCCCTCCTCCAACTCATGAGCATTTCAACGGGGCAAGTCCCGACCTCCTCCACAAAATGGGCCTGGATGCACCCACTCCCAGAATCACCAGCCGCCATCCTCCTCACCAAGACTATCACCACCCACCACCATCATCGCCACCCAACATCTTACACCAAGCTGATCACCACTCACCGACCATTAGAACCGGCCGCCAACACCACACCAAAGCTACCACACCACCCCTACAGCATCATTGTGCATACCCACCATCACCGTTCTCATTATCAAAAAATCCTCCTCCACCTAATGAGATTCATATTGCCTCCACCCCCACCGCCGCCCCCACCACCACGGCGAAATTGAGAATACCCCACTCCCACCAATTGTAAGGGAGTATCATACGCGTTCACCTCCGCCACCAACAATTCCATACTTACTTAAACACTTTGTCGGGCTTCTGATTTCATCGTCTCTAGTAGAAGAAAAAAATCGAGTATTAAGTCTTTTGGGCAACGCGAGGACTTGTCCATATTGTGTGTTTTTTTTTTTTTGTCAAATTTCAAATATTATTTTATTTTTCTGAAATTTTTGCAAGTAAATTTAAATTATATAGTTGCATTGCTTGGTTAATTGAATTCTTTGTTCTATGTACGTATCACTTTTGTGATTGCAGCTTCGAACACTAAAAAAGCTATGCTTTGCTTGATTGCTATACAAAATTGGTATAATTTGAATATCCTTTACACACATAATATCCTGTAATTTAATTATACTATTTATTTATTTCAATTAAGGAGAAAATATTAAATTTATATATAAATGTATTTGATTACATATAATTAATTACAACAGTTTTGTTGATTTGAGTCTTTTTGACTAAAGTAAATTTTTTCTAATTTTGTGACCTAAAAAGGAGGTTACCCTATTCGTAACCTGTTATATTTGGTCCGTGAAATCTTTCTATGATGTAAAAAAAAAATTTGAAACTCATCCGATAAGTTTAATAAAGCTAAGGTTTAAATTGGTTATCGAGCTTACTTTTAAGCCGAATCCAGATCGAACTCGAGCCACAAGCATGGTGCATCAATAAGACAAGGACCTACTAGATGCATGTAGCAATTTTTGCATTTAAGTTTTCTGAGCATTTTGGACCCCCTGAAAATTGATATCAATGCTAAAGGCTTATTCGACTTGAACTCCAAGCTACATGTCTGCCATCACTTTAATGTCTGCATCTGGGGATAGCAATAATGGGGTTATTATTGATTTTGCTTTACCATAAAAAGAGAGATGAGTTCGAGGTCAATAATTACGTATAGTATCAATTAAAGCCTGTCTTGCAATCAAGCATTGAGTGTGCTGAAGGGTTGATTAGATATTGTCATGTTCTGGGTATAACCCAACAAGTTCCACCCGCCACCCAATGCTTCTTAACGAACCTAAAAAACATTAGTCTCCCAATAAAAAACCAAGTAAACCACAAAAAATTAGTTGCAAGACTGTAAAATATACACAGCCAGCTGAGAATAGATCCAGGGAAAGACACTGATATAGAAAATAACATTTCGACGAATGTAAGAATCATATTCATCGTATACATAGAATACCCTGTGTATATAACCACAACCATCACTACATACAATACAACAAAGAAAGTAGCAAGATGCTAACTTATTATGTCAACAGCCTATACACAGATTAGAATCTAAACCAATTTTTTATGAACTTCCTATCATCCGTCCAGTGAAAGAATTAAACACCAGTAATTGCACCCAAACCCAGCAATAACCTTTATTATCCGTAAGGAGGAAGACCGCCTATTCTGCCTGAGGCATGCACCACATGGATTTATGAGGATCTCTCTTTCCTTCGGTCAGATAATAAAATGCTTCCGGTACTTCCATTTAACTTTGCTTCTAACATGAAAATTTTCTAACAAAAAAAGCAACTACAGTAAACAAACAGCCCTCTATGGTCCGCTATTTGTCCAGCTTAAAACCAAACACAAACCCAACCAGCTCATAATTTTCAAAGGGATAACAGTAGTAATAGCCTCAGTGACTTTTGGAAAGAATAGCAATTGTTGGCTATTTATGCAGAATCATCCAAAACGGATCACGATGCATGATGTAGTCATCCTTACTCTTTCTTGCAATGCTTCAGGTCGGTATAACCGCCTAGCCAGCAGCCTTGGCGGATCCTTGAATAGGTTCACCAAATCAACTGCCTCTTTGATCTGCATGACCTGCAAATGTTAGATAAAACCAATTAGCATTAACCAGTACTGAATTTGCTACTTTGGAGAAAACTTAGTGATATAAATCCCGAGATAAATTTTGCCCTTTCTTTGCTATACAATCAATTGACGTAGGACAGGTAGATAGCTGTGCACAAGAATATATGCGACCAATGTATAAAGCGATATTTTCGAACTACGCAAAACCTGGAAACAGAGAAGAGGAAGAAGGCTCAGATTGTTTTAGAAACTCTAAAACAAGAGAAGAACTTAATGCCTAACATCAGTCAAAGAATATCCCTTCTAATGGAAATTGTTTACATTCTGTCTTTTTCTGGCTTACTTGTTCTCCAGTCTGACCAAAGTAGCCCCAAGAAACATTCCCATGGACGAATACAAAAAGATATTAACTTATGCATGAAGTCATGGCACCCATTTTCAGCATTTGCCAGTATGTGTTTGCATAGTAACTTGACCAAAATCAGTAACTGCTATTATAAGTTCTTGCAACAGGTTCATTGAATATTGCTTAATAATGACATAACCAATGTTTCACAAATAGCTCTCAATGATAAGTTTGCCATGAGGAACGAGCTTTTGGGGGTACTTGTAGTTGCTATGCCAAATGAAGAGGAGGAGTGAAGTTCAACCTTGTTCCACGTGTATCATCATGTCAAAGAATCATGACTGTTTTAACAGCAAAACATTCATCGAGTATTTTTGTTATGCTCAAGAGATGCTGGAAGAAAATGATTAAACAACTATCCCCACAGTACAAGTCAAGTACCTCCTTAAAACTGACCTTATGGAGAACATGTACATCGAATTTTTCTCTATCTTCTAACTCGGTAAACCTTTGAGCAAAATACTAATATTTTTACAGCATCATTAACACTCATTGGATGATTATAGCGAACTGACAACCAATTGATAAAACCTTCATTGCCTCAGAGTAACCATTTCTTAACTGAAAAAGAAAAAGAAAAGATTTATTGCTCTTTTAGCATTCAATCTCAAAGAAAAGGCTGGCCATAGACATCTCCAAAACTCCTTAAATAAGCTACCAAGACGCTTCCAAAGAAGTCCATCAAGTATTTCAAATGTCATAGAAACATTCTCCAGCCATCATATTCGAGAATAAAGGCTTTAAGTTTCTGCCATTTTCAATTGGCAAATTCACGAGTCATATGTATGCAAAATTATGTTTGTAAGATCTAAGGCTCATCAAAATTTTTAGAAAGTAAATCGTTCACATCTTTGCTACACTGATGAAGATTTGTTAAAAGATATAACAGAATAGAGCTGGAGTTCTGTCAGAAGAGCTTTGAAAAAGGGATCAAACAGAGGGGCTAAAACCAACTGAGAGAGCAATATTAATCATTTAAGTTAAACACAATAATTAGAAGCCTACACCCCCAAAAAGTATTACATGTATTATTTTAAACAACGCCGATGTCAACCCTAATTTCTTTATTGGTTAAACAAAGTGGATAAAGTTGTATTCAATATGGTAAAAAATATCAAGTAAAACCTCCCAAATCAATTTGATATTCCAAGGACATCCACAAACATCTAGAACCTAACATTCCGATTGAAGAGATTATGGAAATAGAATTTTTTCCCATAAGAAGCTGCAAACAAGTACTCAAAAAATAGAATTCCTAAGCATTTCCCTTCTAAACCTTACCATAATAGGCCAAATAAACCCATGAACAGAGTTAAATTCCCTGAACAATTTAGGGCACATCTACTCAAACCAAATTCAACATTGGCAAAATAGTGCCTAAGGTTTCCTCTCCCTTAACAACTTATTTGATTGTTAATTGCGATTCGAAGTTACCAACTACATAAGAACCTTAAACATTATAAGGAATCTTAGCTTTCCCAATGAAGTAAATAAGAAAGAGTACAAGCTATAAAACCTTCATTGCATGTCATTTCTTACTAGTTTCGAATGTTTGAAAACTCAAATCGGAACAAACAAAAAACCACCTTTAGAAAAAAAAAGAATTACAAACCTTCAATGATGTTAAATCATCTACAACCAAAAACAGCAGTTAACCATGCATTGAAAACAAAAATTCCATCATTTTAATTGTTAAGAACAAAATTTTAAGATACCCTCAGAGACTTCAATGCAAATTAGTGAATTACAACTCTGATTGAGCACAGCATGCGGAGTAGATATATAAAAGCATCGTATATGCAAGTGCACATTTTAGTGGATTTACTATTGAAAATGGTAACGACTATCTCAAAAGTTTAATTAGTATCTTAATATTAACCCTTTGTTCTCATCTTTATATATCATCTTCTGTTCCCCCCAGAAATAAGGTAGTTTTCCCTATGAAATTTTCAAATTTTCACATCAATTATAGTCGACTGAAAGCTTCGATTGCCTGTCCATTGTGTGCTTGGGATAAATTCTCCATGGATTTCATACTACCATTTATGCTAACAAGAGATGGAAATATAAAAAACTGCCCATGGCCCTCAGCATTTAGTATGAAACCAACTGAACCTATAAACACTGCCAAATGAATAAGAGCACTAATGCAACCCAATTCCAAAGACCCACAATATAGTAAACATTAAATCAAATGTGATTGCAAGAAACATTGGAAACACATTCCTGAATGAAGAAATAAGAGAAGAAGGTCTCAAGCAGAAAGATGATTCTGTTGTATATACACATTAGATTAAAACCTTGGAAACGCCTCATAAATATTAGTTCCCAAAAGCAGAAGAACAACTATATGCGAACTATAAAAAATGACCACGATGAACACATATCTTACTATTCAAAAGCAACCCGCAATCCCATATGCCGCAAAGGTTGTTGTCCTTAGAGATCAAGGGCAAGGCGATGGGGAAGGACTTTCATGCACAATACTGCTTGAACTATTATATCATTGCTATTTTGAAACACAAAATAAAAATCATAGTGCTACATAATTAAAAGCTCAGCGTAGTCAAGACTCTCATGACTACTAGACTTGATCGCTCTCTACATACTAGGAAAATATTAATACATAAACCCTGTCATATTTCAACATATCGACAAAAAACTCTAATTATCAAAATATCTCAAGTAATGAAAAAGAATAAGATCACAAAACAAACCCAGTAGTTATAAAATTATTTACATCAACTGACCTGCCACAAATCTCGAACACGTTTCTAATGTATGACAAACTCCATAGATCTCTATTCATCTACACAGTCAGGTTCTGAAACCTTAAATGTGCTTTAATACTGTTGATCTTCCAAAAGCTCGTGCAAACATGGCAAGTGACAATTAACCCTGGGGACATCTCCTTGAAACGATTTATAAGCTTTGAGCACAAAAAGAAGAAAAGCTGTTTAGTTCCCCAATTTAAAAGCGTCAAGCATTCTGGTTGCAAACTGTAGACATTACCGAGAAGAGTGTAACCAAAAACCACCCTGCTTTCTATCCTTTTACGTTCAGTCTGTGGCTCATGGTCCACAGTAAAGCTGGTGGCACAGCCCTCTTTCACAATACAACAGCTCTAGAATCCTACCAACATTTGGCCACCCATAAGTCTTTTCCATCAATTACATAGCAGTTAACAGCAGTTCAGAGCCAACCAGGGCCCCAATTGCATAGAATTGGCTATATGTACTATCATGGCCTCCTATAGGCCCATTTTTAATTGCAGTCTTAGGGTTCATCCCAAAAGTTTTGGCTTGTCAAAAAAAAACAAAGAAATCAAGAATCAGAAATAGTAAGTAAAAAAAAATATGTTAACAAAATAAGTAACAATAAGGTCAAGTCCAAAACTAACGTTAAAACAACAGAAGAGATCCCTATCTTGTAAAGGGATGTTAGAGGGAGAGATTAATCTTTCCAAATATAACTAGGGACTCCCACTCCCCAAGCATGACCATCAAAAGATAGCAAAAATAAATGTCCAAGCTCGTGATTTCTTGAATTTCCCGGTACTCGCCACATGATAATCTTCCATATCATGGCCCCGGATTTTCCTCAGCCACAATGAAACCGCGATGCAGAAAACTCTTTTTATTTGATGATTACTTTTCCCTTTTCCTTTGATCCGGATTAGAACAGGATATTTAGGACACCGGCGATCACTGCAAAAACCACATAATTTCAAAGGAAAATCAAATAAACAAGATCTAAATGAACAACTATGAATCAAAGGAAAATACCCAATAAAAGGAACCAAAAACCATTGATCCTTTGAAGAGAAGTGGAGCGTTTTGAGGTGCAAGAATCAGCACTAGCAACATGTAGTGTCTACTTCAAGTAATCTTATCAATTTCAAAAACATTTTATATAAAAAGAATCAGTCTTTCACCTTCTTTTCTCCGATATATGTTTGACAGGAAATCAGAGAGACAGAACAAACAAAAAGGGAGGAAGTGGGAGGAGGAAGAAGAGAAGAGAAAGGACGAGAAGGTGAGCGTGTTTTACCAAAAATTTTATTTTAATTTTAACATTTCTTACTTCGTTATAGTTTCTAATTGCTGCCGGTGAGTCAAAACCTCTGTTTTTTTCCCCTTTTTTTTTTTTTTTATCATTCTTATCATTTCTAATTTTTTTAATGTGCTTATTTTTAAATTTTTTTTTCTAAGCTTTTGAATATTGTCCCTCTGCAGTATGATTTTTAGACCAACGAAAATCAAATGAACGGCCTAACACGCGGCATTTCCCATTTGGATATGAATTTCAGCCCGACTTTGCTCATTTTTCCCTTAGTAAAATACACTATTTTTGTTCGGCCTCGACGAGTAGTGCTGGCGCCCGTTTACCGTGAAATCTTATTAATTATTCCGATATTTTTAAATTCGAGTATTTTCTTATTAGTTTAATAAGTGAAAATAAAATTAAATATATTTAATCTAATTTTTTTATTTTTTTTATTCGGTTGTTAAGTGCAAACATATTTTAAATATTTTTTTAATGTAATCCTAAGCCTTTGATTTACATGTTGAATAGAAAGCGCAAGTTGATAATTAAGTGGCTG